CAAGGCTCCTCCTCAAGGATTTCCGAATCCACTAAGTCTCGGTCTCTTGAACTCCGTCAAAGCACCGCACTAGTTTGGCAAACAACCCTTGCCAATAGGATTCACTCCGAGATTTCACCACGGCTATCTCGAACCGTTTACAACGAAGATTTAACGGCTATCTTCTACCGTTCCCCCAAGGATTTCAAAGGCTATCCTTGAACCTTTACCCAAGGATTTAAACGGCTATCCTCGACCGATACAATATGAGAATTTAACGGCTATTCTCGACCGTAAGAAGATGTGTTTGAAGAACACAAACAAGAGTTCTACACAACGGCTTGAATATAAAAATGAAGAACAAAACTTAGCCGGTGTAGAAGGAAAGTATACTCTCTAAAAAATACAATTCAAACTTATGAATATGAGAGTATATAACTAGAAACACAAGCTCAAAGTGTGTGTATAATAATCAGGAATTTAAGGCTCTTAAAATAGCCAAAATATTGAAAGTAATTAATAAAAGGATGAACACACTTAGAATAAAAAGAGAGGATGTTTAGAGCTTTGTTTCTTTAAGAAATATGAAGGATTAGGCTTGTATTTATAGTGGAAGATGTTAATTAGCCGTTGGGAGGTGATTAGGGTTGATTTAATTCAAATTGGCAATTTTGCTACAGTGCTGTAACGGATCCGGTACCCTTCACGGTAGGGGGGTCCGTGTCATCCGGTACCTAGGTACCGTGACACGGTATAGCGTACCGTTTCGGGGTACCGTGTCTTCCAAAAGTTCGGTTCGCCTCTGGCGGTACCTGGTTAGGACGGGTTCGGCCAACCGTCTACGCCTACCGTCGGTACCTAGGTACCGTTACACGGTATGGGGGTACCGTGTAGGCGGTATACCCTACCGTGTGGCGTACCGCTAGAGGTACCGTGATTCTGTTCTGATTTTTCCAAAATTCCCTTAATCCTTCGTGTTTGAGTTTAAAACCTTTTAGATATTTGAAAGTGTTTATGTGATGGTTTTAAACATATTTTGTGAGTGCTTTTGAGCTTGTGAATATAGGTATATAAAGTCATATCCTTACATTGGTTTCTACCTATATTCTACGCTAGTTTTAGTGTTTCGACTTCATTCGTGAGTACCGAATATTAATGGATTCTTGTTTTCCTGAAACACTTAAACAAACGTTAAGCTCTTATATTGTTTGTTAACATCAAAACATGAGACTTAGCAAACCAAGGCTAACAATCTCCCCCTTTTTGATGTTGACAAACAATATACTTCAAAGTGAGTTAGGCGGGAGTAAAATAATGAAGCAAGCAAGCTCCCCCTAAGAATATGCATATTGAAAATACTCACTTTGAACTTTTTCTTGTGTTTATAAAAGTTTAAGTTTGATGCAATAGTTTACACAGGAATGCACTCAAGTCAAGTTGCATATGCACCACTTTGAAGTATACATCTTCTCCCCCTTTTGTCAAAATCAAAAAGGGTATTTTGAAAATTTTAACTATGTATAACTTCTTGAAACCCTACCCCTATCAAAATGAATTTTTTAGGAAAAATGATAGTTTTGAGATCATTGGGCAAAAGGTGCATTTACAACGAAACTCCATCTAAAAATGAAAACTCCCCCTAAAATGATGCAAGTTTAAAAACTTTATTTTTTTTTTGGGTTTTTAGGGATTATTTTCTAAAAAGCATGATTTAAATATGAAAAAAATATATATTTAATCATGCAAACCAAGGCTAATGCAAATAAAAGCACGTATGAGATAAGGTTTTATTTTTGAAAATAATTAAAACAAAACAAAATATCTTATCCCAATAAGTGAGAAGATTTTACCTTGGTTTATGCCGCTCTTTTTTCGGCTTTGAATATACTTCTTTCCTCTTCACATACTTCTTCCATTTGAGGAAATCCGTACATTTCATTCTCATCTCCTTCTCTTCGTCTTCTTCATCATCCGACTCTTCCGTAGAGCTTGAGTCGCTTGAATCATCACTTGATTCACTAGACTCTTCACTAGACGAATCTTTTGAAGCTTTGAAGGCGTTGGTAAGCTTGGGATTTTCACGCATTTCTTCCTCTTTGATCTTTCTCAACAAAAGCTCGTGAGAATACAAGGAAGACCAAATGTGGGCGGTTTCGGCCTTATCACATTTGGGTAATAAATCCACTATACTACTATGCCATTCTTTAGGTAAAGAAAATAGAATTTTCGTATTTAGCTCGGAAGTAGTATACGTCTTACCCAACTTACTCAGTTTGTTGACAATCTCATTGAACCTCTTGTTCATATCTTGGATTGTCTCACATGGTCCTTTCTTGAAGGATTCGTATTCGGCGTTCCCAAGGGCAATCATTGTTTGCTTTGTCGAGACATCCCCTTCGTGAGTGGCTTCTAATAGATCCCATACTTCTTTGGCAGTTTTGCATGTACTCACTCTTGCAAATTCATCGGGACCAAGGGAGCAATGGAGGATGTTGATTGCCTTTGCATTCATTGATAACTTTCTTTTATCCTCCGGAGATAATCCTGCAAGATTACCAATACTCGGCACAAATGGCTCGTGAAGTATATTCAACCATAAATCAAAATCAATTGATTGAATAAAATATTCCATCCGCATTTTCCAATAGGAATAGTTTTGGCCATTGAAAAACGGAGGGCGGTGAATGCTTTGGGAATCCATTTGAGCCATTTTTTAATAAATTTGAATTTTTAAAAAATTAGGGAAAATAAAATTTTGAGATTTAAAAATTCAAATTTAAAAAGGGACACAACAAGTGGATCTTTGTCGTAGATGCGGTTAAGCACTTTCAACTACGAAACCGCTCTGATACCAATTGTTAGTCGGTTTAGTCGTTGTGCCCACGCCTTAGAGGGGGGGTGAATAAGGCGTTTTAAAATCTTTTCGGAGTTTAATAAAAACGGTGTTGGCAAATGCGGAAGCAATATATAAAACGCAGAAATAAAAGTGTAAATAAAATTCACACCGATTTTATACTAGTTCGGGAACTCCCTACTCCAGTACCTCAAGGCTCCTCCTCAAGGATTTCCGAATCCACTAAGTCTCGGTCTCTTGAACTCCGTCAAAGCACCGCACTAGTTTGGCAAACAACCCTTGCCAATAGGATTCACTCCGAGATTTCACCACGGCTATCTCGAACCGTTTACAACGAAGATTTAACGGCTATCTTCTACCATTCCCCCAAGGATTTCAAAGGCTATCCTTGAACCTTTACCCAAGGATTTAAACGGCTATCCTCGACCGATACAATATGAGAATTTAACGGCTATTCTCGACCGTAAGAAGATGTGTTTGAAGAACACAAACAAGAGTTCTACACAACGGCTTGAATATAAAAATGAAGAACAAAACTTAGCCGGTGTAGAAGGAAAGTATACTCTCTAAAAAATACAATTCAAACTTATGAATATGAGAGTATATAACTAGAAACACAAGCTCAAAGTGTGTGTATAATAATCAGGAATTTAAGGCTCTTAAAATAGCCAAAATATTGAAAATAATTAATAAAAGGATGAACACACTTAGAATAAAAAGAGAGGATGTTTAGAGCTTTGTTTCTTTAAGAAATATGAAGGATTAGGCTTGTATTTATAGTGGAAGATGTTAATTAGCCGTTGGGAGGTGATTAGGGTTGATTTAATTCAAATTGGCAATTTTGCTACAGTGCTGTAACGGATCCGGTACCCTTCACGGTAGGGGGGTCCGTGTCATCCGGTACCTAGGTACCGTCACACGGTATAGCGTACCGTTTCGGGGTACCGTGTCTTCCAAAAGTTCGGTTCGCCTCTGGCGGTACCTGGTTAGGACGGGTTCGGCCAACCGTCTACGCCTACCGTCGGTACCTAGGTACCGTTACACGGTATGGGGGTACCGTGTAGGCGGTATACCCTACCGTGTGGCGTACCGCTAGAGGTACCGTGATTCTGTTCTGATTTTTCCAAAATTCCCTTAATCCTTCGTGTTTGAGTTTAAAACCTTTTAGATATTTGAAAGTGTTTATGTGATGGTTTTAAACATATTTTGTGAGTGCTTTTGAGCTTGTGAATATAGGTATATAAAGTCATATCCTTACACTGGTTTCTACCTATATTCTACGATAGTTTTAGTGTTTCGACTTCATTCTTGAGTACCGAATCTTAATGGATTCTTGTTTTCCTGAAACACTTAAACAAACGTTAAGCTCTTATATTGTTTCTTAACATCAAAACATGAGACTTAGCAAACCAAGGCTAACAATCATTAATCCCCTCAATCTTCTCGGGAAGACATACACCGACCGAGAACTTGTAAGAAAGGTATTACGAAGCTTATCCCCAAAATGGCGTTCAAAGGTGGACGCAATTGAAGAAGGACGTGACTTCCAAACAACGACCTATGATGCTCTTCGAGGTAACCTCATTACCTACGAAACCACCCAACTCTCAAAGGTGGTTGAAGAGAAGAGCAAGAGGTCTATTGCTCTACCTGCAACAACATCATCCCACAACAACGTTGATGATGAAGATGATGACAGTGACGACACCGACCTCGGACTCTTCGTCCGAAAATTCAAGAAGATGATGCTCAAGAGGGGAGCCAAGAAGAACACTCCACCCAAGTGCTATGGGTGTGGTGAAATTGGACACATCAAACCAATGTGCCTAAAGCTCAAGAACGAGAAGGACAAGAGGGCACCGAAGAAGCAACGTGCCTGCATTTCTTGGGAGAACGACGGCTCTGGGAGTGAAGACTCGGAAACGGAGGAAGTGGCCAACTTATGTCTCATGGCCATTGAAGATGGTGATACATCAAAAGAGGTAAGTGATCAAAAACCTTCTCCCAATGATCCTTTAACTCTTAATGATGTTGTTTGCATTGTAGAAGATTTGGTAGGAATGTTCAAAAAGGCTCGCAAAAAATCCTGATTTTTGAGAATGAAATCAAAGAACTCAAAAATATAAATGATAAACTTAAACAAGAAATTATCTCTTTTGGAAAAAGGCCACAAGAACCTTCAACTACTTCTTCTTCTACATGCTCTAGTTGTACGTCACTAAAAGCTAAGGTTGCTAGTTTAGAGAGCAAATTGGGAAAGTCCAATAATGCTTCAAACACCTTAGATAAAATACTTAAGCAAAAAGTTAGTAATGGTGAAGGACTTGGATATAAGAAAAACCAACTTAGAAAAACAACATTTGTTAAAGCTAGGGGGATTAAAAATGCTAGGATAAATAATCAAACTAGAAGAGCACATCCTAGCAAACCTAGAACTCATTACACTCAACCATATAGGATGAATAATCCAAATGTTATTTGCCACTATTACAATAAGATAGGTCACATTGCACCCGTGTGCTTCACCAAAATTAGGCATTTTCAACAAACGCACACACATCGCACATATGCTAACCAAAAAGGACCCAATAATACATGGGTACCTAAACCATCTCCTTGATATCTTTTTGTAGGTTTGCTTGAAGGCTTCGAGTACCTCTTGGTATCTCGATAGCGGATGCTCCAAGCACATGACCGGAGACGCATCCAAATTTAGGAGTTTAGAGTATTTCAAAGGTGGCAATGTCATTTTTGGTGACAACAACAAAAGAAGAATCATTGGAAGTGGCACCGTCGGAAAGGACAATGCTACAACCGTTGAGAACGTTCTTCTTGTTGAGGGCCTCAAGCACAATCTTCTTAGCATTAGCCAATTGTCCGATAGAGGTAACCATGTCATCTTTGATTCTAGAAAATGCATTGTAGAACGCTTGTGTGACAATAAGACTATTCTTTGTGGTAGTAGAGTAGATAACATTTACATGTTTGATGTTGAAAATTCCCCGTCTACTTTAGCTAAGTGCCTCATTACCAAAGAGGAAGAAACGTGACTATGGCATTGTCGGATAGCTCACGTAGATATATCTAGTGACTACAATGTTCATATATATCGTTTCTACGTTCATAAACGCTCGTTTGGTTGAGTTTCGTGTTTGACATGCTTGAAGAACCAAGAATCATAAACCATGAAATTGATGTTAAAACCATGAACTAATGATGCCAAAATTATCTATGAACCTTAGAGAACATCTCTATATAGTTTCGTTGAAGTTCGGTGACTAAAAGTGGAATTTACGAAAAATGGTTCGAAGGTTGAAGAAGATGAACAGTGGCTGAAAAACCACTGTCTGGATCGATCATCTTGCCTGGATCGATCCTCTGGGAGTTTTTCTTCTAGTGTGGATCGATCCAGAGGGCTGGATCGATCCCCCGAATTTCTGATCCGAAAATTTGTCCGAAAATGTTATTTTTGACCTCTAAAATCCTATTTTTGATACCAATTGATTATGATCATTATAAAAATGTTTTTCACGATAAGTTTGGGTGTTAACACCCGAAGCTAGGCCGCTAATTATTATTTAATATTATGTTGATTGATGATTATGGTAATGATTATTGATTGATAATTATGATGATTAAATTTTAATAAATATTCTGATTAAAAATGATAATTGTGAATGATTAAATCATAATGAATATATTGATGATTGTGAAAATAATATATTGTTAAGGGTATCTAGAAAACCTCTAAGATATACCCATATTAATGTTGATTTGAAAGGTATCTAGAAGACCTCTAAGATATACCTATTTAAGTTAGGCCTTGCGGGTATGAACCCCGGTGGCTAGGATTAAAACGTACGTACGGGATCCAAGAACCAAAGTTGAGTACCTACTCGTTTGGGGGTACCACCCACCCAACACTGAACACTACGCTGTCGGTTTTTGGTTGGCCTTAAGTGAAGGTAAGTTTAAGATTTTCAAAACCCTTTTATCTTAAACTAGGCCCAGCTTAAGGATTATTTAGGAATATTTTATACTGGAATATAGTTTAATTATTTAAACTAGAATTCGTGTAAGGGTTGACAAATATTAAAGTGATTGGTCTTAGACTAAGAATAGTTTAAGGATATTTTTGAATGTTGAATATTGAATATTGAATATTGAATATGAATAAATATTGAATGGTGAATATTGAATTGAATATTGCAATTATTATGAATGACTGATGAACATTGAATGTGAATATAAATGTTGAATAATGAATAATTTTTAATAATTATTGATTATATGAACTGAATATTATGTGAATGATATCAAATGATTTGATTATGAATTTAGATTCAGTTTATATGGATGTTCGATGCATTAGATATGCTTACTCAGCTTCAACGCTGAGCGTGTAGTATGTTTTATTTGCTACACGCAGGTTATTAGAAAGAATGAAGTAACGTGGTCCTGGAGGCAGACGAAGGGGAGATTGTCGGAATGGATGTGATGGTTTTGAATTAAAGAAAAGAATAAATTATGTTGTAATTATGATTTGGTAAAGCTTCCGCAATATTGAAAACTCCGTACTGTTTATATTATGAAAAGTATCATTATGATAAATAAAAGTGTTTGAAATGTTTTAAATTTTTACAATTACCAAGTTAATACTTTAGTCCGAAAGGGGCTGCAGACCTGGACGGATTAGGGTGTTACATTTTGGTATCGGAGCAAATGGTTTTAAAACCGATCTTTGGATCGAATTTTGATATTAAAATAAAATGTCAATCACATCCACGACTCTCGTGTTAGCCTTGGTTTGCTAAACTTCATGTTTTCATGTTAACAAACAATATAAGAGCTTAACGTTTGTTTAAGTGTTTCAGGAAAACAAGAATCCATTAAGATTCGGTACTCAAGAATGAAGTCGAAACACTAAAACTAGCGTAGAATATAGGTAGAAACTAATGTAAGGATATGACTTTATATACCTATATTCACAAGCTCAAAAGCACTCACAAAATATGTTTAAAACCATCACATAAACATTTTCAAATATCTAAAAGGTTTTAAACTCAAACACGAAGGATTAAGGGAATTTTGGAAAAATCAGAACAAAGTCACGGTACCCCTAGCGGTACGCCACATGGTTGTTGGACATGAGTTCAAACCCCTTTATTATTTTTCTGGAATATTTTTGTTTTGATAAATGACAAACAGGATGATGAAATTCAAACGATGATCGAAAATTTACTTTTCGTACCGAGAAAAGAAAAGAGGCGTATCAAGAAAGTTACGGGATAAAAATCAACGGTCCCCCAACGCAGTTTTTCGAAGTGATGTGAAGACTCCGAAGACTTTTTAATTTTTATTGAGTTTAGGATTCTTGTAAGGATGACAATATCTTGTGCACAAAACAATTTAATTTCTGAGGGATAAAAATTATTTTTGAGTCAGTTGAAAAATCATTTTTTCTCTGTCTAAAATATTTTAGTGAGTCAATCTCAAAATAAGTGTGTCAAAATTTCTTTAAACATTTTCTTAAAGTTACACAATTTTCTTTGGTGAGAAAAATATACTTTAAATTTTTTTTTCGTGTATTGTTTGACACAAAATAATTTTTGGACTCTCTTTTTCTCTCCCCTACTCAAATTCATTGAATAAGGGAGATATAATCGTAGGAGCGCCTTCTTATTCTCGTTGTCCCAAACAACCAGTTAGAAGCCAAAGTGTTTCCAATCGCACTTGGCTTCGGCCCTTTGTTTGCGCATTATTTTCATTTTAATCGATTATTTCCTTTAAAATAATCGATTAGATCCAACGCAATTTCTCAGGTTTGAATTCTTAATCGATTTTTTCTCTAAAAAATTCGATTAGCTTGGACAGAACCTCCTAATCGATTTTTTGCTTCATTTTAATCGATTTTTAAGCCTTTCAGTAG